CTATATTGTTCATGATTAGTTAACGAACTATTTTGTGCTTGACATCTACATTATAAAAATTATTATATTGCTTAGTTAAAATTGCAAACACTATGATGTGGATAGAAATAGAAATAAGTGATATTAATTTCGGCCACAATAAAATATCATAATTAAATTACTTAGCAAATTTGCGTTTTTATCGGCAAACTTGCCATTTGACCTTAGCCATTGAATAGCCAATGGGAGAACAAAGGCACTTGTCATGTTGGAGATCAAACATGTGTGTGTTCATTTAATGCTAGTTGAGACTAAGACTTTTTGGAGTACCCACCACTAACCATAAATGTGGTTGGTGTCACATCATTGTCATCTTATCACCACAAACTACTACATTATGTTGCTATTGGATGTGGGTACTCGTGCTGCACACCACAAATCACCACGATCACACGTCACCGGGGTGGTTTTCATGGATCGTGATCGTTGCCATGCAAAACCATGAAAGGGTCCGTGGTAAGTACTCTAAAATGGCCTAACTTGAACATAGGTTAAAAATCTGACTTGCTACTCTTGTAGATTCCAATAACCTAAAATGTTTGATGCTATTAAAATCACCAACGATTTGAATTTCAATTACTTGCAGTAAAATTGAATCTACATGTAAATATTTTGTTGGTGGTAAGGGCGAATTATTATTTCGGTCTCTAGTTTATTATATTGTTAGAGCATCTCCAATTTTTGTGTTTTAAATGTTCAAAAGCTGTGACGTTGTGCTAGACCTCTACAAAATATTAACATATCTCCATTACCAGTAAACTTTATAAAATTTATAAACGTGTTGGTCCCACTTAACTGTGATTCTTTGTGGAGAGAATTTCATAAGCAAGACAGCTAACAACACGTTGTTAGTTGAGTTGAGTTTCGTGCGTCGTGCTGAATTTATTCACTTGTCCATCCTTCCAACCCCAAAGTTTTACTCTCCATTTTATTGAAAAAACACAGACAATTTTAAATTTGAATTATGCAAAAATAAAATAGAATGAATACAAAGACCACCAAAATAAAATAAATACATCTCAATTCTTTGAATTACTAAATAGATATATAGATATACACTCATGACTCATGACTCATAGAATATATAATATATAATATAATAAATACAGTTTGCCAAGTAATTTAAAGGAAACACAAATTCAATTCAATACTGACTCTGCATTTTATGTACAGCAGTTTCAGTTTTTTTTTTCAACAAAAATAAAAATGAAAAAACTAAGCCTCTATTTATTTATTCAGTCTAATTCCTACTCTTGTGTTTGATTGATGATATAACATGTGAGATCCTGTTTTATATGCAAAACCCACCTTAAAATGGTGGGTACCGAGCACATCTCTCTGAATCTCAACTGAAAATGACATTTCTACCCCTGGACCCTCACAAAGAATTACATCTTGTAGGCTTGTTGTTGTGTGACAGACAAGTCACAAAGGGTTTAGATCCAAAGAGGGTTTGAAATGAACTCTGTCCCTGAGCAGTAGATGGGAGACAGAGTCTGCCAGCACGGCGTGTCCCCCGTGAAGTAGTTCGTGGGTCAGCCCACCAAAGTGCCTCCCGGGGGACTGTGACTGTTTTGCCCGGAACATATCCGGGATGTTGTTGACGGGTTTTGAAATTTCATGAAGGTAAACCGACTGGTTAACATGATGAAACGGGATTTTACCACCACCCCCGACTGGAGGAGTGGAGGCACCGGAGGTGGTTCGTGGGCTGGATATGGGTGATGGTGACATCCTTCCGTTTACATGTTGGTGTTGGTGTTGGTGTTGGTGTTGTGTTGATCTTGAATGTAAAAGTGGGCTCCCGATTGGTGACACCGGGCATGATATGTTCCTTGGTATTTGAACATCACTGTAAATTCAAAATAATTTTTATTATTAATTAATTAATTAATTAATTAATATGATAATGTTTAACAAACATACCTGGGACCAAAACCTGGTCTTGAAGCTCTAAATGAATGAGTAACGAGTCTATCGGAATCAAGTAGTTGTCGGTTTCTTGGATGTCCGATTCCCTGTTAAATTAGCTTTTTAGTCCTAAACCCAACACAAACAAGGGCAGTAATGTAAATAGAGGAAAGATTTGATTTTACGTACCCCAGTTGGATCGGAGGAAGTTTCCGGATAGGGATACGGTAGTAGTGGTCTTTCCAAAGGAGCAGCATTTTTAACAAAGCTGTGATCCAAGAGTTGGGCAGCTGTGGGACGATGTTGTGGATTCCTTTGTAGACATTGCCTTACAAAATCTTTTCCTTCATCCGATAAATGATCAGGAATTACAGGGAGTTCTTTACTGTTTCCAATCTTAAACAAGGCTGCAACCTGTTAATTACAATTTTTATTTTTAATTAATAAATAAATAAAACATATTTAGGTCTTTTTTTTACAATATTAGTACTGAGTACTGACCCCTTCATATTGGCTCCAAGGTGGTTTAGTTGTTGCCATTTCTAGAACTGTACATCCGAGACTCCAGATGTCAACAGCAAGGTTTGACCCGTTGCTGTTCTTGATGATCTCAGGTGCCATCCAGTAAGGACTTCCTTTGAATGACAATGGACATGTTTGCCCTGTGATCTGTGTAATCAAGTTTTTTTAATCTTTCACTTTTACCCTCCTCATACTTTATTAATCACTAAATTACATCTTTCCTCCCTTATCCAAGTGTAAAATGACTTTTTTGGACCAAATGTGCAAAAAACATCTATACTCAAGGACCAAAAAGTTTACAAGAACCTCATATAAGGACTAAAGATGCAAGAGAACTTTGTGGGACAAAGATTGCAAAAGTCAGCTATACTCAGGGACCAAAAATGTAATCTACTAAACACAATGTAAGCTTACGTGTTTTGCCATTCCAAAATCAGCAAGTTTGACTCGGCCATTTGGGTCAACAAGGATATTTGCTCCTTTTATATCCCTATGGATGGTATGCTTAGCATGTAAATATGCAAGCCCTGATAAAATCTGTTGTGTGTAACTTCGGATCGCCAGCTCACCAAATTGTCCGTATTCTTGAAGAAGTTTATAAATTGAACCACCCGACACGTACTCCAGATATATATAAAGTTTGTCATCAACCTGTTCATTCATATACACAACCACCATTTCTAACATTATAAAATTACCATTTTTTTTTTAAATATAAACTTCTACACAAACAAAAGAAACTTGCCATTTCAGAACCATAATACTGCACAATATTTGGATGGCTTAACCGGCTCAGTAAAGAAACTTCCTGAAAAAAAAATCAATAAATATCACCGGGTTAAATGAAAAATGGAAAAGGAAAAACAAAAGAAATATTATGGAGTTTTCTGAAATTGCTAAAATACATACTTGTCCCAACTGTCTTGCACTTTCCTTTGACTTTGCATCATCAGAGAACAATGTAACTTCCTTCATAGCACACATTTCGCCACTTTCACTACACCCACAACATGATAAGTCCAAATAAGAGAACAAACTAAAAAGATAATGAAATGGTAAATAAAAATCATACCTATTGAAACCAACATAAACATGACCAAATGAGCCTCTACCCAGAAGCTTCCCTTTCTTCCATCTTGACCCTGGGCTAGGTAAATTATCAGGCCTCCCTGGACTTCTTGGAACAGAAGGTGAAGTGGCTGCTGAATTTGACTGAGAGAAGGGTAAAGAATTGGAAATTGTAACCACCGGAGGAAGCGGTAACCGGTGACTTTTCTGTTTCACATCTTCTGACCGATCTGCCCCTCCCCCTGCCCTTGGATGAAGTGGTGTCACTGCCCCACTATGGATTCTAGAGCTAGGGCCTGGACTTGTCATTTTAGGACTAGGAAGTGGAGAACACTCTGGGCTACCTCTACTTGGTTGCCAAAACAACCCTGCCATGTCACCTCCCATGGAATTATGACCCGAGTTTTGACCCGAACCAGGGCTAGAACAGTGACCCGATCCGGATCCAAGAAAAGGGAAATCTGGATTAGGTTTTGAGGTGTAGAAAGCTGAATTTATAACTTGCTCTGTTCCAAATGCACGTAAGGGGCTTCTAGAAGGACTTGATATGGAAGAATCCGGAGCACTGAAGAATGCACCATGAGAGGGGACCTGAAGATTCGGGACATGACTTCTTAAAGGCTTTCTTCTAGGTGGTGAAGAGGAGATGTGATTATCAAAAAGATGATCATGTGGTTTTGGTACCTCCCTTTTAGTCACAGGCAACTGATCCTTAACAATCATACTTCATAAACAAAAAGAGAAACATACAATGAATCAGTCATACAAGATTAATGCATTTTTTTCTTTTCTTTTTTAATTTCAGAATTTATAAATATGCTTACTTGGAAGGGCTGCCTGCGGTTGTTCGGCTCCCGGTATCATAATCAGATGCCAAGGGGCTAAGCTGGCTTGAATCAGGTGGATCATCACTATCACTATAACATTCACTAAAAACAGAATCTGCTCCATCAAAATCTCCTGCATCTGGTCTGGTTCGCATATGGGGGAGTGGAAGAAAGGGAGGCGTTTTGGAGCCTTTTTCTTGTTTTTGTTTTCCGGATACACTGAGTCCAGACTCGGTACGAGTCATACGGGAAGGGTGAAGAACTGGAAGAGGGAGTGGTTGAGCTTGAGGTCTTTCTTGAAAACTTTGACATCTTGCCACAAGTTTGGATTCTTTGGAAGGTGACACGGATCTGGACTGAATCCTAGATAGAGACCCAATCTCTGAAACTGTGTCACTGCAACCTCTCCGGGAACCACCTGATTTTTTGTCAGAAGAGATCCTAAACTTGCGAATTGTGTCAATGATACTATCCTTGCTTGTCTTCTTCTTTGCTTCTTTTGATGATGACACTCTCCACCATGAAGGCATGTTTCTCGATGTTATACAGAAGAAAAGGAACCCAAAGTAAAATCTAATCCGCCACCAATTGGCCAATCCCTAAATTTCACATGAGATGAGATGAGCCACTATCTTAGTATGTAGAGTTCTCCAAGAAATTTGCTACCAAGTGTGAGAAAGTTAAATCATTTGTCCTGGTATAGAGAGAAGACAGACAACTTTAAGAAACTTTACTAAGAAAGGAAAATTTAAATTACTTAAATCATGTCAAGTAGCATGGCTATTTCAATCTACTTCTGTATAAATCCTATGGTTCAAGCTTCAATGGAATTAATTCTTCATGAAAACCGAAATCAAGCAAAATGAAATCTCTCCGACGTCCCTAAATAAACGAATTCGTCTTATTAGAAACAAAATTTTCACCATCCACAATGTTCTCCGGCTAAATAGAGGATTTGATCTTCGACATTTCATCCGTTTCAGAGAACAAAGAGACATAGCATCTAAGAATTCTGATTAGGGCAGTAACCAATTCGATCTATACCGGTCCATAATTACAGCATTTGAACATAGATCTACACACAGCTGCATCGAGAATCAAAGGAACAGACCGGAAAAGCTTAACACGAAAGGTAATGAAAGTTTATATAACTTACAAGGTGGAGCATCTGATATATGCTTGAGCAGCGGTTGTGAAATGCAACGAACGAGCAGCAGCGAAAGTTGGACGTCTGAATTAAGCTATAAGAAGAAGAAGAAAAGGAGAAAAACAAACAAAATCTAGTAAAAAGATATGGAATTGTGAGGTTTCCAAGTGATGTTCTGTGAGAATAAACTGAGAAAAGGAGAGCAAGAGAGAGAGATCGGAGAAAGTATAGAGAGAGGAGGAGGAGGGGTTGGGTTCTCTTTTTTGCTTTCACTTTAGATTTGTTTAATGGAGGAGAAGAGAGTGGACTTGTACTAGTGGGGTAAGTCGTTAGTATCCCCTCCTTAAATATATATGTAAAAAAAATAGACCAAGTGATTATCAAACTTTTTATCTTTTTTGTTTATATGTTTTGAAAATTACTATATATAAGATATAAAATTTTCTATTGAGATAAAAATAATGAATGCCAACTTATAATAATAATAATAATAAATTGATGGTAGAGCTTTCATACTATAGTCATCGTAGTGATTTCATTATTTTCTCACTATTTCCCATCATTATGTATTAAACCTAATTTGTTAGTTTTTACAGCATCACTTAAGTTGTTATTGACATGAAACTGTTACATAATTCCACAAGAATTGTATTTTCTAACTTGAATCATTTTATAAAATAACATAATAGTCTTTATTTCAGTGTGAAGTTATAATTATGATTTTCATATGTTTCATAATCATATGGTTGAATTTCGGTGATGTAGTTCGATTGGTTTTGAAATAAACGTCCAGGAATTGAACCTATATATCATAATAATCAATAAATTTTACTTTTATACAAATTAATATTATTTAGTTTGGTATTGTCTTCAATTGTTATTGTGTTTTATAAATCTATATCTATAAAATTTAATGCAGATCTATCAAAAATTAAATGGATATCATTACTAAAGATGTAAGAATACTTATCATAAAATATTAATTTATATTGTTTTTAAGATAAAAATAAATAAATAAAATAAAATAAAAATAAATAAATAAAAAATCGGTCGTTTAAAGTTCAAACTAAAATTATGATATATTAACGTAATTATTTCAGTTTTCAAAAGTTAATGTGAAAATATATTATTTACTACATAATTGGGGATGATAAATTATTTCTCTTAGATGAACTACTATGCACATTCATTAAAATATTAAATTACTCTACTTTTAGATTATTATAAATTAATAGTCATAATTAGACTTATCGCCTGTCATTTTGTGTTGAGTCGTTTTCACAAAATCCTATTTTGTGGAGAAAAAAAAAAGTCTCATACGGTTTACCAATAATGTCTTCAATAAATCAAACGTCAAATCTATGTATTTATTCAATCATTAAAGGTCTTTGGGATCTTTATTTAATTCAACTTATTGCAAAAATGTTTATTAATTTATGATTCTGTTGTGTATTTGCGTAAGCATACAATAATTAAAAACAAATTAGAATTAGAATTAACAAAGGTTGAACAATGGCTTCTATCTTTGATAGAACAAGAATGCAAACCTTTTACGTTTTTCTAATTTTCTCTCTATGGTCAAAACTCAAAAGTCTTGATTTTACAAAGTTTACATATTAGGACCTTAGACTTATCTCTTATTTACAAACTAACCCTTCAGCTAGTTTAATAACGTATTTACACAACAATCTCCACTTTGACATTCAAGTAAGTCCATCCGTTACTTTCAGCTGAGGTTGACAAATATGTACCACGGAAAACCAACAAACATGTTACCAACCGAACCAAGAATATCGGTAACCAATATGTTTGGTTGGTAGTACCATACCAATTGTGAAATCGTGGTACGGTAGTGGTACAAAGTTTTCAATACCACAGTAATACTATACTAACCAATTCAATATATATAGGGAAGAATTATATAGAAAATGAATATTAGGGCAAAACATCACTTTAGCATAATTTAATGAAATCATCCTTATAATTTGGTTAAAGTTACACTTTAGGTCCCTACCATCTTTCTTTATGATTTATATATTTTAACCAATAATATTAACCGTTCCAAATTCCTACAAATGATTTCAAAATTCTAGATTTCATTATCTTCACAGTTACAGTCGGATGCCATAGACGGAGACACCTGAAGCCGCCGCGTCGGAACTACCAGAAGATTCTACCGCCGCCTCCGGAGCCACCATCTGCTGCTACCAGAATAATTAGAACCATCGTACCACCACTTTTACGTTTTAATCGTCCCTTTGTCTCTCATCTCCATGCTTAACCTCACTTCGCCTTTCTCCTTTCTTTCAATCTGTGGATTTCGGGTATCGGCAATTTGTGGAGAAATCAGTCAGTATCAGATCCCAAAAATGGTAAACTAAACAGATCATAACAATCCAAAAAAGAATCTTAAAATTGCAATTCATACGAAGAACTGTGATATGATAAATTCAACATAAAAATAGGAACTCACATTAGGTTGTCTCTTGATGGCCCTTGGTCTATTCTTTGGCCTCCGAGAGGCTTTAATCCGGTCAACAAGAACACATCCTCTTCGATCTCACTACGCAAAAGCGGAATCAAACACTTCTGTTATTGTGTTGAACTGATGTAAAGAGGGAGATGCAGGTGGTCAATTTTGAAATTGAGAATAATCAAATGCGAATAATGGCTTGCACAACAAGCATAATCTCTTCTTTCCGTCTAGTCTCAAACACCATCTCCAAGCCTTTAACCAATTTCAATAGATGATCAATTAGTAAATCAAGAACAAACTGGAACTGATTTTGAAAATTAACAGATTATTTAGAGATGAAGGAAAAAAATCGATTCATTAAGAAAACTAAATCGATGATAAATTTTGTTTGACATTTTCTTGAAATCGACGATCAGATGCTAAAAACAAAGCCGGTGCGTTGTAGTCGGAGAGGCTGAGATGTGTGCGCTGTAGTTGCTGGCGGAGAAGTCGGTGCATACGGTGGAGATGGTCTCAGAATCGCCGGTCGGAGATCGATGCTTCATCCATTCAGAGTTCGCAAGAGCGTGAGGGAGACGGTGGCTAGGGCAAAATCCATACACGAAGGGGATATGTGGGTTTCTTTTCGAGTTCAGGCGGTCACATATGGGAAGGAGACTGATATTCGAACATGGAGGACGTCAACTGGTGGGGATGTTGGTTTCCGATGAAGGAGCAAATGGGGGCGTCTTTTTAGGTTGAGAATAGATCAAGAAATAATTTAATTAGAGTAATTTATAATTCGGTTATATTTTAATTGAATTATATTTGAATTGTATTTGATTTTTAGGGACTAAACAAGTAATTTTAAGAAAACAATGTAGATTAAATGTGTAATTTTAACCAAATCATAAGGATTGTTTTTATAACTATAATATCTTACGTATGAGTAAAGAAATGTATATGTGTCAATTTTTTATTGGCTTCTAATTGATGCCCAAAATATTTATTTTCCATAGAACCTTCTTTTATATATATATATATATATATATATATATATATATATATATATATATATATATAATTTTAGTATATTTGGTGCTTATGAATTACGAGCTTGGATATTAGCATTTACTGAATTAGTAAAGGTTAAAGTATTAAACTTATATTGGTGTGTTCAATATTCTTCCACCGCTTTAACTTATAAACTCATGATAGAAATTAATAATATCATTTTGGAATGAATTTTCAATCTCAACCATTAGAAAACTTTTATTCACAAAACCCCCCATTGAAATTTCACAATGTTAAAGAACATAGGAATCGTCATTCACAAAACACTCATATATGTTGGTATATACCATTACCAAGATGTAGCAACCAAACTTATTGGTAGCCAAACAAATTGGTACCAACTATACTTGGTACGATACTGGTAGAAATTTTGTTGTACCAACTATAATTGGTACGATACACGGTTTAGTGAAAAAAATAAATTGGTACCTACCAATTCCAACCCTACTTTCAGCACATAAATTGTCTCTATGAAAGTGCAACCGTCCTTACGAAATAGAAATCAACACTTGGATAACCAACTTGTATCAAAAAAAAAACATTCTCAAAGTCTTTAAGCCTTTCTTATCAACCAAATCTACCAAAACATTTGTCACCATTAGCACACCTCTAGTTAATCCCTTGAGTTACCTTCATTGTTGTCACCATGAAGAAACCTCTCATGTTGCACTACAGGTGAAAAAAAATTGTAGTCGGTCGTTAAAATCTTTGTAGTCGGCCTTTAATATTCAGCTACAAACAAAATCCATGAATCTCACCATGACCATGTATCTTTAAAATCATCACCTTAACTCATCGACTCACCTCTTTCGAGACAACCGTCTCCCATGTCCTCGAACTCATACCTAATCGGCGATCCAACCTTTCTGCGTACCAATCTTGAGCAATCAAAGGACAACCCCCTTTTGTTCTCCCTTAAAGTAGTGTTTGATAGATAGATTAGATGAAACTTGACTTGATTTAAGTATACGAAAAAGATCGGACTTTACTGTACTAAACATAATTAGATTGGGCAGGATAAATGATTTAATATGACATTTGTAAAACTGGAACATAACATAACAAGTTGTATGATTGTGTTTGATAAAGCTAAAACATAAAATAACATAGCAATATGTTAAAATGATCATATTGCCTTTTTTTTTAAAAAAATAGTAAAAACTTCTTTTAACAAACAATTTTAAAATTAACAATTTTTTTTTCAAAACAAAAAAATTCAAAAATTCATATATTAAAACTAGTTCTAATACCAAATATTCAAAATTGTTTCAAAATTAACAAAGTTATAAACTCAAATGGTTTCAAAAATACATAATCTTAAATTAAAAATGTAACACCCAGAATCAGAACGGCCAAGAAAGGAAAGGAAAACCCTAAGTCAAAGGGGTCAACTCGTCGAGTCCAAGGAAGAACTCGACGAGTCGAAGCGGGATCCGGGTGGAAGAGTAAGTGACCGACTCGGCGAGTCGTCGAGTGGACTCGACGAGTCTGGTCTGGGCGAGAAAAACCCTAATCCCGGGGGTTGTGCCCTATATAAAGAACATTATAACCCACCCTTAGCCTCTTTACTACCCTATTGAGATCCAGAAACCCTAAAATTGAGTGTGCCTCCATTAATAGAGAGAATAGAGCTTTGGAAGAGAAAATCTTGGGAAGGGGCTTGAAGATAAAGAGGCTTGCTGCAAAGGAGTGGTGTAGATCCGGAATCTACTTCAGTTGGAGCTTACATTGGAGGTAATAATCTGTTGCTTGGGCTCTTTTGCATCTAGATCTATTATCATTTGAGATTTGGGGCATTTTTGGTATGATTGAGAGCTATTCCGAGTTAAAGGCTTAGATCTGAGGTTGCTACTTCAGATCTATGCTTGTGATGGTCCAAAATGTCATAAAGTTTCTGTTTAAGAGTTGTTGGTGAAGCCCTTTAGTCCTTAAACCTAGCCATAGTATGTTTGGGCCTATATCTCCTTGGTTTCACGTAAAGTTTGCAACTTTATGTGAGGGTTAGGCTGTAGAAGAGTGGATCTATGGATTGGAGCCCCTGCATGGCTCGAAAAGCCACTGTATGGATTGAGAACTGGGGAGACTCGGCGAGTCACATGGGTGCACTCGACGAGTTGTATGAATATGTGCATGAACTCGGCGAGTTGGAAGAACAACTCGGCGAGTCTGTTGAAGATTGCCTAGGACTCGGTGAGTCTGTTCTTGGACTCGACGAGTCGGGTCGCAGAACCCCCAACCTCTTCTGGTTAGGACGCAGAACAGTGAGTTGAGTGGTGACTCAGTGAGTTGGACAGGATGGGACTCAGAGATCGTTGAACTCGACGAGTTCTGGGGTGACTCGGCGAGTTGGGTCGTATTTGAGAGCTTCTGAGTTTAAGGACTCGGCGAGTCTTCGGGTTGACTCGGCGAGTCGAGTCAACTGGAAGGTTGACTTTGACCAGGACTTTGACCAGAGTTGACTTAGTTTGACTTCAAGAGCTCAGATTGGAACTAAGTGTTGTATTGATAATAGTAGCTCGGGGAGCTAGTGGAGCAGCGGTTCAGAGGGTTGACGGACAGCAGCCAGAGGGTTATCAGCAAGTTCAGCAGTGCAGGTGAGTTTCCCTTTGTGTGGATGGGTCTACGGCCATAATGCCGGCCCATGTAGTTATGAGTAGGAAGACCCGGGGGTTAGCCCTAGGCACTGTTTGCTAGTATGATATTCAGGACCAAGGTCCAATATCGGGCGGGTGCCCAAGGAATGGTTTGCATGATAGAGTATACTTGTGTCTATGTGATACATGTATGTGCCTGGTAGGGAGGTGAGTGTGGGCGAGGTCCCGTATCTCACCAATAGCAGAGTATGGACGGTGTTCCATATCTCATTAGCAGCAAAGCAGGGGCGAGGCCCAAGTTAGGAAAAGAGTGAGTGTGGGTTGGGCCCGTATCTCACTATCAGGAGGAGTGTGGACGGGGTTCCAAGACTCACCAGTAGCAGGACAAGGGCGAGGCCCAAGATAGGCGAGGCCTTAGAACAGGATTCAGTAGTATATATTTAGTTATGTGTTGTGGTATGTTATGTGTTAGTATATGTTAGCGGGCGGGGCCCAGGGACAGGCGGGGCCTAAGAGAAACAGATATGTATCCGAGCGGGGCTCGAAGCCAGGCGGGGCCTGGAGCGGCGGGGCCGTTGAAGCGGGAGAGGCCCGAGGTAGTGGGCGAGGCCCAAGGTAGCGGGCGTGGCCTAGTATTTGTAGTATTGTGATTATGCAGGGTATGTGGTAGGTTGGGGAACTCACTAAGCTTCGTGCTTACGGTTTTCAGTTTTGGTTTCAGGTACTTCCGATAGCGGAGGGAAGAGCTCGGGGTGATCGCATGGCACACACCATTGATTAGACAGCCTGGGATGTTTTACTCTGATGAAATGAACAAGTATTTTGAAAGGATACTCTGATTTGTTATATAACTCTTTTAGTATGTTTTGAAACGGGTTAATACTATGGTTTAGTTATGATTTAAAAATGAAATTTTTGGACCGTATCATTGGGATGTTACAAGTTGGTATCAGAGCCTTGGTTTGAGGGATTTGGGCACGCTTTCGGGTGTGTCTGAACTCAAACTAAGGAATTGGTATAAGGTTTTCCAAAAGAAAATCATTTTTGAAAAGAATTTTTGAAAAAGAAAGGAATTTCTAGAAAAAGAAAAGAGTTTGAAAAGAAGAAAAAGGGGTGTGGTGCATGCAATCAGCCGAGCTCAAGTAAGTACCCCAAAATACCCATACAAGTTATGTTATGATATGATTATTAGAACTGCATGCTAGAATAGGACTAAGGATCTAGGAGGATGCCTTATGTGCCTGTTATATGCGTATGAGCTTTATGAATTGCATGCTAGAACAGATTCCTGATTAGAGGATAGAACAGCTTTATAGTATTATGTGGTTAGCTTCCCCAATGCCTGACTGTTGCTTGCTTTGTGCTATTAGGAGTTTTAGCTATCTCTGATTAACTAGTGAACAAATATGTTAAGTTACATATTGCAAGGACTAAATAATTTCAGAAGGTTAGGTCTAGCCCTATTTCGTAGCTCTTGTCTGAGTCCAACCGTTGTAGGGTAGGACCTCTCATTCGAAGAATTATCTAGTCTAAGCAATATGTAATGGTATTCGCGAGTTAGTTAAGGGGAGATAACAGAGACTTCTTATGCAGCTGATGGCAGTTAGTGAGTTGGAGGTTACCCTAGGGCAAGCCTAGGATGAGAGTAGTGTTGGGAGCAGTGTTAGTAGCAGTGAAAGGGACTTGGCGTAGTCGAGGCAATTCTTGAGGAAAGTACGGATAGATGTGGAAGGTAGTAGGGGCCCATACTACTAAAAGCAGAGGATCTGTACTCGATTCAAGAAGGGCTGAGATGAAACTGGGGAACTTGTAGTGTGAGTGTGATCCCTCAGTAGAGATGTGTATGTTAATGACAGTTATGATATGTTGCAGAATGGTGACACTATGGGGTAGACCAGTTGGCGGATCAGGCGCCGGAGAGGGATCAGGCTCGGGTTCAGGGACCGAGCAGCTCGAGGAGCGGATGAGGGAGTTTGTATCAGCCGAGGTTACGCGCAGTATTCTAGATCAGACTCCTGTGATATTTGGCACGGTCAAGGAGGGCATACTGGAGATATTAGATGAGAGGCTGGGAGCCTTCCGTACGGAGATGATGGCTTTGA